CCTCGTGGCCTAAGTATTCTTTGCGTGTTCGCAGTAAGGTACCGCGTTGCCTTAATTATCTCTCGCGTGAATATTTCGTGTGTTCGTCTGCGTTGACTATTGTTTTGCGTTCCTCTGTGCGTTAATCTTGTATGAGTTCATCTATCGTGTTTAACAGTCGGCATTATCGCGTTTATATATTTTGAGATTCTGGCGTTACTCTACCCGACCTTCTCGCGTCCGTCTACGGCGTGGGTTATCCGGCATTCTTGCGTCAGCACACCCGACCTTTCCGTGGTAATCTACTCAACATCCTCACGTTAATTCGTCGCATCGGCGTCGATCTGCCGTCGCTAGAGTCTCTTTACCGCATGATTTAATTTCGAATGTGATATCCTCGGATCGATTATACCAACATCTACACTGACCGATATTATATTGCAACTACATTATATCTACACCTACTCTGCCTGATTAAATATGTTACTTGTTATCCTGTTACTATAATTTTGTGTGATTAATTGCGTTATGCCTTTTCTCCGAATTCCCTGAAAGGAATCTACGCCCTGAGGCGTCGCCGGGGATATCGCGCTGTTTAGAATAAAGTACGGTGGTGCGATCAGTCGCACCTGGCGCCCAATCATTTTGTGTCGGAATTAGTTGCGCGTGCTGCCAATCCACGATAGCTCTCCACCGGATTGCGAGACCGGGGGAAAAAGCGTCGCACTACATATATATATTTAACATTTGATTTACTTAAATATGAATTTAACACAAATAAATCAAATAACATAATCAAAATTAGTTAGATTAACACATAAATATGTTACATTTTTTTAGGGCGGCGGTGTGGTTTAGTGGTAGAGCGCCAGACTCGTAATCTGAGGAACCAGGTTTGAGTCCACTAGAGCCATGTATCATGGAAAAAGTTTTTTCCGAAAAACCGCGCCCCTCCGTGCAAGATGCGTGTAGAGAGCAGCATATCTGTCTCCCTTCCGATTGGTCAGCCCCCTCTCCAGCGCCAGCAAGAGGGGTTGAGAGTTACGAGGTTGGCAGAACTGAGTTACGAAGACCGTTAGAATTGTATCGAGACTCGTGGCTGTTGCGTGGCTTGCAATAAAGTTTTATTCGAACATTAGTAATTGAGTGTGTAATCATTCCTCGATTCCTCTCATCAATACGTCGGTAGTAGGCCGACACCCGGAGGGATAATCGACCTCCTGTGGTACCGAATTTCTACATGCGGAGAAAACTGGGCTCCGTCTGTCGGAAGAGACGTTAAACCGTTGATCCGAAGGGTTAAATACCTCATGAAAAGTCACCAACTCGCTCGATAAGCATGGTGACTTCTAGTTAGCGTAGGGCTGACAACGCATCTAATGAAACAAATCTGTCATGAACACATTACTATAGTAATGCAGGCCAAGGCTCTCCCGAGCTGTAGTGCCATAGATTTATTTATTTTATTTTATGTTACATTTTTAACACATAAATTTTAACAAGGACTTTTTTTAACAAAAATACACAAACTTTTTTTACTGTGTAGATATTTTGTTGACATGGATATGTGGATAACGCGTGGATATCTAATGGATATTTTTGATAGATATTTTGTGTGGACATGGATATGTGAATAACGCGTGGATATCTAATGGATATCTTTGATAGATATTTTGTGGGCATGGATGACGTGTGGATATTTAATAGATATCCCTACTGATTATTTGAGAGATATGGATATTTTTACATTTATTAGATATCTATTAAATATCCATAATAGATATGGACGTCATATGGATATGTATATATCCACTGGATATCTATTAAATATTTTGTTCTTTATGAGTGAACGTTACCAACTGTGTAAAATGTCAGCTGTATACAACAGTAGCACAGTATAAGTACATACAGTAGGGACACTGAGCGTCGGCACCTTTGATGTAGTGGGTTCCAAATCACATGACCGCCATCTTCTCTGTAGGATAGAGAGCTGTAAGAGAGAAAGAGAGAGAAGTATTTTCCTTTTTGTCATACATACAGGCCGCCTTACTCTCTGTAGGATATACCGATCATGCGCACTGGAAATTGAAGACCACTAAAAAAGTTCAGTGTCTCTACCTAGACAGCACACGGATATCCGATGGACATCCATAAGACGTCCTTTAAGGACATTGAGAACGTCCATAGTATATCTGTTTATGAAATTGGTGGACATGTTTATATCCCTAAAACATGTCCACAGGATATCCGATGGACGTCCTATGGACATGATAATAATCAGACAGCATAGGATATTCTATGGATGTCCGTTTTATGTCTATTTTTTGTCAGGATGTCCATGGACCTTATAAAGATATCCATAGGATATACATTTGTGGACACTCTGGGAATATCCCAAAATGGACAAGTTTGTATGTCCATATGCTATATCTTATCCATATCCTTCTATGCCAACGCCATCTGCATGTAATTCCGAACCCGATCTCTTTCTGTTTCCTTCCATGGCCGGGCAGGGATCTCACGTCAATCACGTCGAAAATTGTACGTTATTTATATTAAAAGTAATCCTTTTTCTTTTTTTACATCTAAAAATCGTATTGTGTGCCATTTGGTTTTATATTATTATATATATACTGTATGTACTTATACTGTGACAGTAACCTCTGTCGGGTCTTCCGGAGGAATATAGACCCATGATAATGGGCCGCGAAAGTTCGGGCCCTTCTATAACTGCAGACGCCATGAAGATCAAGCTATTACAAGACGTAAAGAAAAATCATACACAATCTATCGGCGAAACAGAAACAGTAGCGTTATATACTAAGACGGGTGAGAAGATTGGCAAGGACAAAAAGGTAAAGCAAAGAAATTTTTTATCTGTGGAAAAACGAGCCATTTCGCTGCGAGATGCCGGAATAAGTCACGAGAAGGGATTATAAGAGCAGAGAAGAAAACAAACATAAGGCATTTGCGACTTTAAAGAAAGGGCATTACTATACTATTACATGTAAGGGCCAGCGCACGTAGTACATTGCCATATCGTACGATTGGTTTGCGTGTCGCATAATGCAAAATTCTCACGTAAGGCGTAAGACGCTACGGCAATGTTCGTGCGCTGGCCCTTAGTTACGTTACATTTTTCTTTGTGCGTTGCCGTAAAATTAGCTTACGTGTCGTGTAACGCAAGATTCTCACGTAAGGCGTAAGACGCTACGGCTAATGTATAGACGGCGTCATTAATGCCTGGTCCCCAAAATTAGATGTAATTCGGAAATTCACTCTTCGTCTCTTTCTAATTGTCCCCCTTAGAAAGAGACAAAGAGTGAGTTTCCAAAACGCATCCAATTTTGGGGACCAGACATTAATGACGACGTCTGTACGTGCGCTGGCTCTAAGCTGTAAGCACGAATAAACCGTTCTTTTTGTTTTTGGCATGTGTGCACATGTCTTCTTTCCTTTTGTAACGTGTAACTAACGTATCCTTTCGAACATTCCGAATATTATAACAAATAGAATATTAAAGGCGTCTTCCATTGGGAAAAACTCACTGGCACTCATTGTCAGTGTCTCTGAAACATGCTCACTAATTCTACCAATGAAATACGCTTCAAGCACTCAGTGCTGCCAGTGCCAGTGAGTTTTTCCCAAAGGAAAACGCTATAAGATACTTACTATTTCTGATAAGAGTGATTTTTGTTCAGTCTCTATGAGCTTCTTTGCATCGATTGTTTTGAGAAATTCGTAGGCGACTTTCGGATCTGAAGTCGCCTTTCCAAGTTTTTCGACGAGTTTAAAACCCAACATTGTTTCATTATTTGTCCAGTCATCAAAGGCCCAAGGATTTGTGATAACACCGCTTTGTGAAATTGCCTTATGAAACAAACCTATAAAGCGCGCAGTTTAATTAATTCAATACAATTAATAAAAGTTATATTGGTTCCTTATAGAGGAAGCTTTCTTTTCATGAAAAAATTCATTTTTCAGTTTTTTTTGCCAATGTGTTTAGAATGTTCTAAAACGTCGAAAAATCACATTTTTACAAAATGTCCGCGTGTGTGTGTGTGTGTGTGTGTGTGTACGGATTTGATGTCCGTGGTTGCTCTAATTTCCGCAAATTTTGAGATATTGAGCTCAAATTTTTTTAAATGTAGAGTATTATTAAAGGAAAGTTGGTATTGAATTTAGTGATGATCGGTAAAAGGGTTCATTTTTTATAAAATTTTGAATTTTTTGAAAAATGTCTGTGGCAGCTCTAATTTCCGCAAATTTTGAGATATTAGGTTATTTCAGTACGTGATATAGGCTGATTTCAACTCGGGAGCTCCGAGGGGGAATGAGGGAGGGGGGTATCGGATTACGCGGGAGGTGAGAAGGAGGGGAGGGGGGTATTGAATTTTGCGGGGGGTAAAGGGGAGGGGGCGGGGTATCAAGTTACACAGGGGTATCAAATTACAAGAAGATAACGCAGAGGTGAGGGGGAGGGGGAAAGGTATCGGGTTACACAAGGTTATCGGGTTACGTGGGGAAGGGGGAGGGGAGGGGGTTGACCTTGGCATACCACAAGTATGACTCACCGGGATGAGTCACGCGGGATGACTCACCCGCGCCGCAGGTTCGCAAGTCCGCGTTCGCGGTCGCGCTGCGGGATCCGCGTGGGGGGGGCCTCGTTCGCAACGACGCTGTCAGGCGGCGCACAATGGGTAAGACTAACTCGATAGCGCACTGCGTAGGAGCGTGTTTAATAACGCTAATGCATCGAACCTGTCGGAGCATGTTCGTCGTAAACAACATTTTTCTAGGAAAAGAGAGGGTGTTACCGCGTAGACTAAACAAGCTATCTACGCAGTACGCGAGACAAAGGAAAAAATGACGCATCGAACCTGTTGGAACATGTTCGTCGTAAACAACATTTGATAAAATATAGGTAGGGATAGACATGCACGCAAAGAAATTACATCATTCATTTAGGTGTAAAAAAACCTGTTTATTTAACTCTTTTTTTACATAATATATCTTACGTGCTAAAAAACTAAAGCTACGAGCTCACCATCGATGAGCTGATTTGTATTGAACGCATCGCTAGCGTATATTACATTCGACGCTTCCTTGGGATCCGTCACAGTGGACGCGATATCGGAGAACTGCGCAAATTTTGCATCGACTGCCGCAAGTATTCTGACCAATCGATCGAATCTTGCATCGATGCACCGATCGAAATCAAACATACGATGCAACGTCGATTCGGTCACCATCAAGCGTACGTTTACAGATTCTAGACGTATGAGTTTGACGTTATTAACCGACGTACAAACTCTCACCGTTAGCGGTCCAACGTTTATAAAACTATGGACATCTTTGTAGTCATTGCGAAAGAAATTCCGAATATTTCGCCGTTGCTCATAGAGTGCCTTCCACGTTTCGAGAGATAACAGCAGTTTCTTTCCTCGATGATCTCCAACGGCGATCTTCACGTAGCTCGGTGGACCTACGTTGATACCAATTTCGAGAAATTTGTATCCCGTAGCTGTCAACGCGTATCGTCTGCTGAGTATACGAACCGCGCGACGCTCCAACGAAATGCTGTATAAAAAAAATGAAATTAGTTTTATTTATCGTAAGTATTACAATTTGCAAATATATGAAAACTAGGGTAGGCTCTATATGTTTTTTTTATCATGAACGAAACTTACTTATTACATCTGGCATTATACGCTTGAGTTTCAACGTCATGAATCGGCACGTAATAATTCACGGCATTCACGCGTTTTGCACCGTTGCTGCTGCTGCTGCTGCTGCTGCTGTTGCATCCTTCAAAGGAGAACATTTTCACCCTTTAGGCTCTGAGAAGTTGACTGTTAGTACAAGCGACCGCGACAAGACTGATCATATGAAATTAATCGAGTATACGCGACAATTCTAAAAGTAATGATGTGGTGGTGGGAGAAAGGGGAGGGGGAATTAATGTTTATAGAACTATGCAGTGGAATTTTTTTTAGAAGAGGGGGAAGTAAAGCCTACTCTAACAGTGATGATGGGGGAGAGGAGGGGGAGTAAGAAATGAAACATTATAAAAAGTTATATATAATTTATTTTATTAAAGAAAGATCGCAAATCTTTATGGCGTCGCGCGCGACCACCAGTTAAATAGTTTTATTACATTTTGTAACGCGCAATTCCTTTTCCGCATCGCATAGTATTTGTGTCATCTAGTTTATTCAAAGATTCGATATTATCGTAATGCGCATCCAGAGTCTCGACGATTAGGTTTTTTCGCGCATAATTCTCCAGCAGATTCACCAGCCGTTCTCGTTTCTAACATTCCTTGACATACACGAGAGTCGGTATCTCGTCATCGTCATCTTCTTCATCGTCTTATTCTTTCACACCAAGCACGGCCGACGTAATCAGGCGTTTCACCATGCTGTACGGCAAGTTTCCGTCTTCCCATTGTAATCCATGGTGATTGCGAATCAACCAGGTAGCGCACGATTTGTCCGATTTTGTAAGGAGATTCCACAGCATGGGGTACGTAAAGATGTGATGCGTCAAAACGCAGCCTTTTCTCAGCAACGCCACCTCCTTCACGACAAATTTCATCCCGACGAGGAATCCTTGCAGGTCCACGAACGTTGATACGGACATGACGAGATTTCTTTATCTCTCTATCTCTCGTCGATGCGTCAATTGAGAGGTACGACGCGCAACTCTGCAAACCGTCTTGCGACACTCTGATTTATACTTTCCCCTCCCTCCCTCCCTTGCTCCTCTAAATAATTGTATCGGAGACTGATGGAAAGAGAGAGAAAATATTCACGTCGACGCTGCCGCGAACACTCAGACTATTTTGCGCACCACGTTCGTCAACGGGTTGTACTCAATCACGCGGTCGTGTATGATGAGACAGTACGCGGAAGTGTTTGGCGGTACGTTCTCCATGCAGTCGAATTCTATTCTGACATCCACGGTGGCGTTTTTGACGGATTCGTTTTGGCGGGAGCAATCGATGATCTCAAACGGGCCGTTACGTAGAAAAGTCGAAACGGTGAAACTCGGCTCGAGATATTCGTATCCGTAGGGCTACTTGCAAGGGCTACTTGCAGAAACGCGCGTACATATCGTACAGAATCGCCCATCTGTGTTTGCCAAAGTCCAAATTCAGGTCGTCGTACGGATAAACTTCCGAGATTAGATAGAGTTTTACGTTGGTCAAGTTGCAGTCGTCGAATCGGCTTGTGTCGGCGGACATGACGTTCTTCCGACCCGTCTGCAGAGCGAAGACGACGTATCGCAGTTTTTCGAGCTGAGTCGCGGTCTTAATGGCCCACGAGTGCTTGGTCGTGTTCTGCAACAGGGGATACTCGTACAGATCCCACGAACGGAAACCCATACTTAGATATCGTCCGTCTTCCAAGGCGCGCAGCATCGACAGCTTGTTGATCTCGTTCAATACCACGTGAGGCATTCGCCATTGTATCTTGAGTATTTTGATAGTAGGCTCCAACGCGAGACTTCCCACCAGGGAATTGTTGTCGTTGCGCGATTGTATCAAGATCAATTCGTGACGAGCGTTGATCACCACGCGTTTGTAATCCTCGCAAAATCCCAGTAACAAGTTGAGCGGTACGCAAAAATTGAAATATTCGTTCGGGTTATTATGTGGTTCCCAGCCAGCGTTTCGCAGGATCACGCTTATGTCGGACGATATCGTTACGTAGTTCTTGAGCGTGCTGGTTATTTCTACGTTTCTGCAACAATCAATCTCCATACCGTCGTCGAGCTCGTATCGAATCTCGTCGAACATGAACGCAATTAGTACCCAATACCACGTTATCGACTTGGTCGGCTGCTCTGGTCACCGTCAATGTTCCTTCGACGTAGAGAAAACTTTCGCATGGCAACGTATACAGATCCTGCTGTTGTATGGGTATTCGTATTTCGTCGCTATAGTCAAACGTTGTGTTGGCGTACGGGTTGTACGTATGAGTCTCGATCTTGACGATGCGATCGTCAAAGACCGGCTTGCCTCCGATGTTGAGAATTTCAGTCATCACTCAGATGTTTCGCACCGAGAATCCCAGAGATTGTAAAAACTTAACGTTCGACGCGTTGAGCTCCTTTTTCGTCGCTTGTTTAACGCCACCGAATGTTGACTTGACGATATCGTAGATCGGCGCAGGCGTAAAGATATTACTGTTATCTGTTGCGTGCTCCGAGTCATTCAACACTAGCATCTCATGTGTCGCGCGTACATTCACGCTCACGCACACACTGGTGCGTTATTGCTCTCGCCGTCGTACGTGCAATCTGACGGTGATCTCTTCTCCTCGAAAATTGAGCAAACGTCAATCGACTTCTTTAATGTTTTTTTTTAATCTTTAACGCTACTCCTCGCCTGCGTTTGTGCGGGCCGAGATACAGTCCTTGTTCATATTTGTACGGAGCGAGATAAAGTCCGTGACCTTCCACGGCGCGATTGTGACGTTGCGTCTCTTTCAGCTGACGCCGCGCGGCTTTGCTAGCGTTCACCGCCGTTGTAATTCCGGCCACTCCGCCGCACAGTGGGAAATTCCGTGCTGTTCAAAAATCATGAAAATTATATTCATTTCGCTTGATGATTTTCCGTTAATTCCTTTAAATAAAGATATAAGAGATATTATACTTTAAGTTAAAAAAAATAATCGTAAATTATTATTAACAATTTGGATCTAAAAGATATCACTTTGAAGGCCTACTATGTTTTTTCTATGTAATTCTGTTCACAGATTTTGAAATGAAAATTTATAAAACATCTTACTTTGAGATAATTTGTTTAAACAAATTAATTTTGAAATTTAAAGCTTGAATTTGTTATCAGCGACTTGAAACATAATTAAAATGATATCCATCTCGGTTAAACTATACCCTAGAAGCTTGTGTCTATGAAGGGATTACCGTTTTTTGCATGGATTTTATATTACTGAATTGCACTCTATGTTTAACAATTTTCGTTGTGCGACAAATATATTTCCGCAGTACTGCATTAATGCACAAGTCTTCCTGAGCATTTAAAAGAAAATCGACGAGATTTCTTAAAAATTGTGCTGTCACAAGAATTTTGTCCAAAAACAGCACGGAATTTCCCACTGTGCGCCGGCCAGAGAACCGAGAACTTCCAACAACGGTAGAATCGGCAATACGCCGCCTCATTTCGCTGTCGAAAGTATCCGTTTTTTCGTCGACTTTGTCCTCGTTCGTGTTTTCCGTGTTTTCAGACCCATTCCCAGCTTCGTCTTAGCCTTCATGGCCGCCCAGACGGCTGTAACGGCAGCCCTCTCTCCAAGAGCCGAATCTCTCGCGATGACGCGTCCCAGCGCTCTCTCGGCGAGTATCTTTTCCGCCGCGTGTCTCTCGGTGAGCTCTTTGCGCGAATAGGCTATGTCGCGCTATCGACACGCCGCGTCTAATGGATTTACACCCGGATCACCTCTAGCCAATCTAGTCCAGTCAAATTAGACAAAAAAAAGGCTTTTGCTCGGAAGTGAAGCGGTATCAATGAAACCTTTTTAGGGTTGTTGGGGGGATGTAGAAGAGCTTATTTCTGAGTTGTCGGGTTAATCGGACCGATGGGTTTTTAAGGGGGGGAGGGGGAATGAAAAATTTCGTTTTTTTGCAATAACTCGGCGAATTTTGACCGTACATGATTGACTAACCTCTCATTTTGTAGCTCTTTTAAAGCCCTACAATTCATTTTGTGAAGACCCTAACTTAAAATCAATATTTGTCGAGTTCTAGCCGGTGAAAGTGGGAAAAAATGTATTTTGTCGCGGTTTTTTGCGTTTATCTCGTTTCCATTAATAGATAGAAATGTGCCGCCACTGACAAAGTTGTAGGGCTTGAAGAGACTTACAAAACGAGAGGTCAGTCGTTCAGATTCGTTAAAAATTGAGCCCAGGAAAGCCTCTGGAAGTCGTGCTTTTAACGCGTGACCGATCGTCGCCGGCGACGATCGGCCACGCGACGGTGCGCGTCGAGTCGAGTGCGCTCGGGACTCGGCGCGTATTTCGCTTATCTCTCTTTTCGAGTATAAAGTTAATAAAAAATTGTAACATGAGCGAGTGTTTTATATGCAACGAGCCGTTAGGCGGCGATAACGTGTACGCAAAAAACCTCGACAAAATACATTTTTTCCCACTTTTACCGGCTAGAACTCGACAAATATTGATTTTAAGTTAGGGTCTTCAGGAAATGAATTGTAGGGCTTTAAAAGAGCTACAAAATGAGAGGTTAGTCAATCATGTACGGTCAAAATTCGCCGAGTTATTGCGAAAAAACGAAATTTTTCATTCCCCCTCCCACCCTTAAAAACCCATCGATCCGATTAACCCGACAACTCAGAAATAAACTCTTCTACATCCCCCCAACAACCCTAAAAAGGTTTCATTGATACCGCTTCACTTCCGAGCTCAAATGTCTAATTTGACTGGACTAATCGTTCTCGCAAACGAGTACCCGGACCGCAAAACTGATAGCCGGGAATGTGCAGTTCAAACGAAAGTGCAGAGTATTTTTCGATGAGCAGGCACTCGAACGTCGATTGCTTTTATCTTTGTCAGACGTACGCGAGAATACCGAAACATCTGATACGCGACAACGCGAATCTGCGAGTGAGTCCCAGTTGCGCACAGAATAAATCGGACACAGCAGGTTGAATGAATCGGACACAGTGTCGATCGGACACAGTAGGAAAC